ATTTATTTTGTCTTGGTTTCGTTTCATAGCAGAGCTAACAACTTTGTTACACGTTTAACTTTGTTTAGGTCTTGACTGAAATTGATGGCCTTATTAAAAATGATTTATGAGGTTTTATGGTGGCTGTTGCTTGTAGAGATCTTTATCACTCTCAGCCTTTTTACATAAAAATAAAAATGCTGGGCTGAACATTAATACACAACCAGAACCAACATGTGCATTCTTCCTAGATATCTTGGCAGAAAGGCAGGTTCCCTCTCACTGAGAGGGCACTCTTCACTGATGACATGATACAATAACAATGGGATATTTTAATTGTTCTTTGAGAACTAATCCAAAAGAAAACTAGTATATATGTAAGAACTTTTTAGTAGTCCCTATACATGACAACAATGTACTTAAAATGTTTTGATAAGATATTTGTGTTAGCTTTCTGTTGCTGTGACAAAATACCTGATACAAACAACTTAAAGGGAGAGAAGGTACATTTTGGCTCATAGTTTTAGTCTGTGATCACTTGGCCTGATGGCTTTGGGGTCTATACTGAGAGAGTCCATCATGGCAGAATTGCATGGCAGATAATAGTTGCTTACCCTCCCGGCAGCCAGGAAGCAGAGAGCATACTTTTATAAGAAAGCCTCTGACACCCAAACCCTATAGGGTATGAATCCATCAATGGACTAATCCACTGATGAGATCACTGCCCTGTCACCTCTCAAAAGCTACACCTCTGAACACTCCTCCATTGAGGACTAAGTCTTGAATACATGAGCTTTTGAGGGCTATTTTAGATTCGAAACATAACATTATCAGTGTAAAACTTGCTTTTTAACTTGAAATTCTTAAAGCACCAACCATTATTTTATGATTTCCTCCTGGTCAAGTGTATATATTTGTAGGATGGTAGATTTATTAGAGCATAGTACCAGAGTGGAAAATAATTTTGTAGGAAAGATTAATGAGTGCAAAATTATGATGTACATCGAGAGGACAAGTAGGTTGAGAACTGAAAACTAGATAATGGATTTAAGTAAATCATTGGTGATTTCAATGGAAATCATTGATTTTAATTAAAACCATTTTGGTGAGTTGATGGGGACAGAAGCCAGATTTCAGTGCATTAAAAAAGCAAGATGAAGTAGAGACAGGAAGTACAAGAACCTAGGAAGAGATGGTAGGAAGTGGTTTGGCAATTAGAAGATTACTGAGGTGGTTACTACAAGTGGACAGAAGATGATAGACTGTACGATGTCCTGTAAAATGGGAGACACCAGAGCATTTGTGAATACCAAGGGCTAGGATCTAGTATAGAGTGTGAGGTTGAAGATTCAGGAAGGGAAGATAACTGAATGAAGTGTTTAAGAAGCCAGATAGGATCATGGAAATAGAGAATGGTGCAGATGACAACAGACTTAGGATTTAGTGATGGTAAGATGAGAAAGTTTTTTGATATTAAGACATATAATTTATTAAAAAGTACAGTTTCTGGGCTGGGGTTGTGGCTCAGTGGTAGAGTGCTCACCTACCATGCATGAGGCACTGGGTTTGATCCTCAGCACCACATAAAAATAAAATAAAGGTATTGTGTCCACCTACAACTAAAAAATATACTTTACAGTTTCTTCCTGAGAGATCTGAAGATCAGAGATCTAACAAGAGTGAAGGCCGAAATAATTTCTTAGAAAATGAAAGACAAAACTTTACAGAAACACAGTAAATCACAGGACCATGCTGAGGCTTCATGAAGTGACTGATTTCATAGTGCTTCAATTTTAGACTTTCTGCAGCCATGTTTTATTCTCTATGAGTGTCATGTTTTAGGGTATTGATATTTCTAGTGAAAGACACGTAAAACATAAAGAAGTGAGGGATAGAAAAACTATTATATTAAAGGTTCAGAGATGATAATTACAAACTAAAGGATGCTTAGGAATCTGGATTATAAACATAGAAATTAAATGAGCTAGATATTAATATTTCTATTTTTTTTACCCACAACCCAGGGGTGATCTACCACTGAGCATATCTCAGCTCTTTATTTTTCGAGACAGGGTCTTGCAATCCACCTGATTCTGCTTCCAAGTTGTTGGGATTGCAGGCATATGCCACCACACGTGGTTACAACATTTTTTTTTTTTAAGGGTTTAAATTAGAAACTGAATGATTTTCTAAAAAAGAAGAAGAAGAATAATGAACCCAAATTTGAGCCATGTTTTTTTCTTTAAATCACAAGTAAAAATGATTTGGTCTTGAAAAGGCATGTACCCTTGAATTTAAGAAAGTTAGACTTCAAGCTTCAGGACAGATATCTTTGTTTTTATTCATTGATGCCTGACCTTCTCAAACAGCCCCAGATATTTAATTATGGTGCTGAAGTTAAAAAAGCAACATAATACTTTGAATTGATATATAACACTTTAACTGTGATAACTTTTTTTGTTTCAGAGCTATTTATGAAGAAATAGATGTTTATCCCCACAAAGGAGCTCGAAGTCATAGTGATTGTTGAGGTAAAAACTTCAATTACATTCCATATTCCATCTAATTTCAGTGTATCATCACCTTTTGCATTCAGTAGTTATATTTTGTAATGGCAGAGTTTTATGCTTATGGTTAATGAAATAACAGGAATTCCTCTGGATCATTCAAACTGTAAAGAACTGTTTTTCACTAAGGAAATACAATCTTTGTGATCTTGTCAGCAAAAAGCATTGAGACTTGGGATTGCAGAAGTTGGGTTTATGGAATTGAAATGTTAATGCTAAAAAAAAAAAATTTGATCAATAGAAATTCCCTATCACTAAAATCAGGTATTTGGCTTTAATGTGCAGTTAATACCTGTTAACTGGTACCAAGAAAACCCATTCATTGTTAGTCCTCCAAATAGGTCTGGTTTTTCTCTATTTGTTGCATTAGTCATCCCACTTACTTCCTGATAAGTGTCTGATTATCAGGTGCCTATTATGTATTCCTGCCACACCATCCCCTACAGAAGTAGTACGTTACCACCATTCCTCTATTTGACTGGCTCTTCTATCTCCCAGTAGAGAAAAGACAAGAGTTATCAAGAAGTAAACAAGAGTTATCAAGGAGGGCAGGATGGAGAATGACCAATTTTCTTCTGTTTTAGGTTAAAGTGGATGATCAATCAGCTCACTAGCAGCACAGAAGGGCTAGCTCTCTTAGAGGGTAGATCCTATCCAGCTTTGAGACCTGGAAGACAAGACCTACCAACATGTGAAAGCCACAGTGGACCATTTCTTCTCTGCTATAATGAAGTATAAGCAGAAGAATAATAATTTCAGAGTAATATTCATGATTAATGACAACCAATCAAAATTTCAGTAGAATGTGGTTGTAGCAAATATTCACTTAAAACTTTGGAAGAACAATTACTTAGTCCTTAGGCCAACCAGTTTAATTGCAGTACCTTCTGTTGCCTACATCTTCCTATATATAGAAAACAATCACACAGCTGTGATAAAAGTAGATAAAGATTGTTACTTTATTATTATTACTACAAAATAATTCTAAATAGATGGGAGAAACTAAATGTATTATTCAGGAAGAACATTTTGTGCCTTCACTTAACTAAAATTGAATGTAAGATAATTTGCACTTCTTTAAAAATAATTCTTTGATTCTTTATAATGCTAAATTATCTTCTATTGCCCCCTACCCTTTTTATTATAATTAACATTTCTATTTGGAACAAAGACTACTGGAAAACATTCAGAATAAATTGTGTATTCATTTACATAAATTACAATGACAAATAACTTAAAATAATTTATTATTATTTTTTTATACAGTTTTGATCCCAGAACTTCTATGTCAGTAATCTTCATAATCCCATCCTTCCCTTTTAACATTCAGGGGCTTGGAACTAAGAAAGTAAATGCAAGCAGTCTAATTAGATATATTACATTATTATTACATTATATTACATTTTATTTCAATTTCATAGTGTCACAATTTCAAAGTAATTCAATATTCAAATGTAAAATAGACCTAGACCTTAAAGGGAAACTAAAGTAAAATTTGAAATAAGAATATAATCTTTGAGCCATCTTAGGGCTTAGTGACTTTTCTTTCACCTTTGAATTTTTTAAAATAATGGCCATTCACACTGAAGGAAAATAGCTGTTTTGGAGATAAATAAACATGGTCCAAAGTTCTGTTCTATAGCCTGAAACAGATAACTGTGGGCGCGCGCGTGTGTGTATGAAGGGCCAATAATTTGAAAAGCAACTGTAGAATTAAGCTGAACAATGATCAAGTTCATGCCTGCACATGTAAGAAACAAAGCAGTTTCTCTTCATAGTATCACATTCTTAAATATGGTAGTAAACAGTCATACAGTCTATATAAACGTGGGTTTCTTATGGTAAAAAGCTGAAACTGTTCTTTTACTTTTAAGTGGCATAAATTAG